CGCTGTCCTGATTTTCTGAAACGCAGCGGCTCGATAGCACCGAATTTTCTGGAACGACACTTCCGAAAATTTGGTGCTATCGAACCGCCCTTCGCTGTCCTGGTTTTCTGAAACGCAGCGGTTCGACAGCACCAAATTTAACTGAAACGACACCGTTCGTAAATTTGGCGTCCGAGAGCAAACCTCGTCGTGGTTGATGCGGGCCATAGCTTTGTCAAGCGGATTGCTCCAGGTTATGCAAGCCATAGATTTGCTGTGGCGTGAGATGATGCAACTCATGAGTCAGATCTACCTTGCAACAGTGTTTTTTCAGTGCTGTTGTCGTGTTGATCCAATGTAACGTAGAGCAACAGAGAAGGCAGGCATATCTTGACATGATTCGGATGCAAGCATCTGCATGGGCGGCCATGCGGGTGGGGAGGCAGCGTGTCTCATGGGGACGTGCTCTCATTCGCAAGCTGCGTCGATTTTCGTGTCGGCAGAAGTGGAAATGGATCGATGGACATAGCTTGGGTCTGGGCATCGTTCTACTTATCAGAAAGAGGAAATTGAGGGGCAGGCGCAGGAAGAAAAAAGCGCGACAGTTTTTCGCGCGCTTCGCCCGCGCCTTTGCTATTTTACTGTATATTCTCTTCCTTTTGTGCTATTATTCGCCGTTCTCGAGCTCTGAACCTTATGATGCGCCGTGACTTCATGCTACAGCCTTACGGATTGTAGCATGAGAGCGAGCCATTTCTGCTTAACCCCTGCCCTCCCAGCTGCCCAGCACCGAGGATGCTGCTTATGGCACCCGGTGGACAAGTGCTGGAATGGCTCCTTGACATCCAGCACATGTGGAGCTTGGACACGCAATCTCATGCAGGTCTTGAACTGTCTCAGTGAATTGACGTGTTTTCGGCTCTTTGTCGTGACTTCAGCCGGACACCTCCAACCTCGATTAGTTTGAAATGCTCATGCGCCTGTCCGAGGAATGTAGCCATCTCTGGACGAATAATTCGGCATTCTGAACTCATATGCTTGACCGTGCTTTTTGAAGCCTCCGACGCTCGAATCCTGTCCTCTACGAAATCATTGCTTGCAGATCCTACCAGCTGTCCGAGGTTGCCCAGAAATGTGCAGCCATCACTGCACCTGGGCTTTCATGGTTTTCTCATGTGGTGCCGAAGTTCCAGCGTGTTGCGCTAACATGTTCCACCCCACATTTGCTAGCATACTTCGTGTTCCCATTTTGTTGGCAACCTGACAGCCGTCCCACGACACCATGAGCGTGTCTTTACCATGCCTTATACGACGTAGTTGCAATGTTACAATGGCCTACGTTTCGTTTCGTTTTACCCCTGTCCGCCTGAAGACGGCCATACTGTCATGTGAAGGGGTCCCTAAACTATCCGGCCGGGAGCTATTGAGGTACCGGTGCAGCGAGGCCTGGAACGAAGACAACCTGGGCATGTTCGGGGGCCTTGGCCGGTTCCCTGGCTGGAGACGGCCTTTCGAAGCCTCACATGCTCTGCTTGTGGACTGCAATCGAGGCTGGCAGACGTTGACCACGTATGCCTGCGAAGCGAAGGGGGGCCACTGCAAGTCCCCGCCGCTCATCTTTGGGGCAATTTGGAGGGGACTGGTCCTGCATCATGTTGCAAAAGCAAAAGTATTGTGGACAGGTCACGCCCCTGTGGAATGTGCCAACTAAAAAGCCAAGGACAGTAAGAAGTTCTCAGCAACCAGAGCAACTGCGAAAGATGCTTACTGGAGGCAGACACATCTCGCATCTTTGCTGAAATCTTGTTTTCCGAAGCCTGGTTTTCTTACTCCGAAGCAATGAAGAGGTTGTCATGACATGCGCACCTGACTCTAAGAGCCGAGTTCGACTGTGCTAGTCGTTTCCCTCCCTGATATCAAACGTGGGGAGGGTGCCCCCCTCATAAAACTGGAAAGTAGTTTTATTAAGGGGTTGTTTTCTTGTCTCTACTGCCACTTTGGCGGGGTCGTGCTCTTGCTCCTCCTTCTGGTTCTTGCTCCAGCGCTGGTTTTTGCTCCTGCTTCTGCTGCGTCTCTTGCGCCTGCTCCTGCTCTTGCTGTTGCTCTCGCTTTTTGTTCTTGCTCTTGCTCTAACTCCTGCTCTTGCTTTTGCTCTTGCTCTTAAACCCCGAACCCCCCTAATTCAGAATAATTTTTTCAAGGGCAGGGATGATTTCGGGATCATTCGCCGCAAGGTGTTTTCATTATCAGGGGGGTGTTTGATAAAAGCGGGAAGTGATTACTATGCCCGTCCGCGCTTTGTGTTGGCCGACTTGAAGAACTCGTTTGTGCACCTGGCACACTGTTTCACCGCCTCACACCGCTGTTAAGGACGTCGACCCCCACAAGTTCACTCGTTGGACACACGAAGCTGTACAGCGTGCGCGAAGCCGGAATGTGACGGAAACTGGCTCTGGATTGACTGAAGTGAGGCGCTGCTAGATTGCTAGACTGCAGGCATCTAGCAAATGTTCCGCTAGACCTGGGGCTTATGGTGAATCGCGCTTGCGGAGAGAGTGGTTGTGTGGACATGCTCGTGGCGCAAGCTTGTCTCTGTGGCTGTTGCCACTGCCCTTATTCGCGAATCTGAGGTTCTTTAAGAATAAGCGACACCCTCATTCAAGGTTGGAGTTTCACGTCACAAAAACAAGTGCGGCCCAAACATAGATAGCCCACAGACTCGAACGGAAATGCTGCCAGGCTTCATCATGAACCAAGCTGCCAATTCCAGACTGCCCGCTTTGCAAGCATCTAGAACAAGTCTCAGTGTCGCCGCTCAAGGGCATATTCTCGTAACTACTTGCATGCGATGTCCAGCAATAAGCAGAGCGGCCATGAAGTCTAGAGTCTGCAGCAGAGCAGCGCAGACTGCAACACCCCATGGCATGTCATGGATCCCTTAGCCCTCCTGTCCGATGATGATGAGGAAGACCGACGCCCAGAGCAATGTCAGATCCAGCACGTCAGACGAAGCTTTTCAGCACATGTCATAGCCCTGCATTGGCATTTTACCGAGGCTGACAAAGTTGACCACAGCGAAGGCGCAGCAGGTCCGTCTGGGAAAGTCATTTGATCATACTTATTATGGCCCCATGTGCAGCCGGAGTGTCTGCAGCAGACGCCGGTGCCAGCAAAAGACTAATGCTTGACGTCATGGTCGGGGAGCATCATCACTGGGAACATCGCACGGAATTCCAACTTGCACGATGTTTTCTTCAGGCTTGTTGGATAGGAGGCCGCACGGGGTTTTTGGTACGAACTGTTGTCGCCGCTTATTCGATGAAGGCCACAATAGTTTAAACTGCTCTGCAGTCTAGCGACGGGTTCGGGACCATACTCATCTCAGGCGGGGACGTACCGGAGCCGGAGTTGAAGCGACCACGCACGGCCTCTTGGTACGCAGTTGCCCTTACTCCAGAGCTGCCAGGGCTTGACGCGTGCTGTCTGTTTGTTGGATTTGTGATAGCACTTGCAATAGCAGCTCAATAGCAGCGGCTGGGGCAGCAGCAGCAGCAGCACGTGGAGTAGTAGTGGTCGTCGTCGGAATCGTCACCGTCGTTTTAGTGATGACATTGGACATCATTGCTTGCTGGTAGTCGCATCTTGCTTACTGTTGCTGTTACTCTTGACCTCTGACAGGCCTGTTAGCATCCCGCTTATCGGGTGCGTTTCACCCTCAAGTCGCTCTAAGCCGAGCTCGGCTTTGTGACTTTGTGTGTCTTAGAATTGCCCGCAACATTAAACCAAGCCAAACCTGAGAAGGGGGATGTTTGCCAATGTACTGACACCAGACTTCATAGACTGGTCTCATTCCCCAGGAGGACGCGCCGGCGGCTCTCTCCGTGGACTTCGAGGCACTCAGACGTCACGTGGCTGCATGAGACAGCTTGACGGGCTGATGCACTGCGATTTAAGACCGTGTTTCTGAGATTCAAGAGCTCAAGCTGTTGATTGCAGGGCTTGGTCCAGAGTGCACTAGTACGTCGATCTTCAACACTTACCGTGATTTCAAAAGCTTCGGTGCTGTCGCAGCCAGGGCCCTGATGGAAACTTCGTTGAGGCGACCATGCTAGAAGGTAAAGAGTGCAGGCTTCAATGCAAGCCTGACCATGCCGACTTGCTTGCGCTTTCAGCTGGTGCCGTGACGATGCATTCAATATCGATGCATGCGTAAGTTTCGGAGAGGCACTCGAAGCAAAGCTGTAACAAGGAAACATCCTGACCAAGGTGTCGGCTATGGTGCAGAAGCAGAAGCGCAAGAAGCGGCTGGACTTAATTTGACTTTTGACGCATCGGGTTGATTTTAGGAGACTCGGCGAAAAATAGGACTTGTGCATATATTTTCGCATGAGCGAACGAGCAGGAACCTCAGCAGGGCCCAGGGCCTAAAGCATCTGTCGTCACGTTGTTTGCAATCTTCCAGAGGCTGCCGCCGTTCAAGCTTCGCTGAAACAGACCTTTTCCGCGTGCTCCCCGGACTTTGCGGCCCACGCGTGCTTCAGCGATGCCCGGCTCGCGCACTGAGGTGCTGCAGCACAAGGTGGAGGAGGAGGAGGCTCGCCAGCGCCCCGGATTCATGAAGGAACTGCACGTGAAATACAGTCGAAATGTGGCAACATCTGTACCATGCATTGCCACGCACCTGCAGTTTGGCAGAGAGTGGCATGTCTTGTGCATGACTAGCGCGCACTTGCAGTACTTGCGCTCGGTGCGAGGTCTCAAGAAGCAGAAGTTGCAGCCCTGCCACGCTTTGACCGACCGTGTTTCTCCATTGGGGGGCAGGGAGGGGGGCCCCAAGAGTCTAATTAACGCAAGCAGAGCCGGCCAAGCGACTGCTGCGCCGTCGCCGCTGCCAGGAAGGAGAGTAGCAACGACAACACAGCCCAGGCAGCGGTTTCGGTTGTTGATTATGACAAAACTCTTGTTTCAAAGATCCGTTTGCAAGTGAAGCAGCAACGCATCTGAGATGGCAGTGTTCTGCGGGACTTGATTCAGATCATATGCATGCCCCCTACATTCTTGGTCATCAGCTGGTCACAGGACAAGAGCCTTGGCTGCGAGGAGCCACCGGAAAGCATCGAGGTGGACATGTTCGGTGATGCTCTTCTTTTGCAGATGCCTTCTAGGGTCCCGAAGCTACTGAGTTTTCAATCAGGGAGGCGTGGGGCAACATCTGTCGGCTTCAAAGACAGTCGCCATCACTGGCCCATCTCGCACCTTCGTGCCTCAGACCCCTGGGACTCTTAGCAATGGCTTCCGTGAAGAGCATGATCGCCGCCAGCCTCCTTGCTGCGCCTTGCGCAGACGCTTTTGTGGCACCGGGAGCATCCCAGTCCTCCCATTCCGTCACTGGCCTTCGAGGCTCCACGGCTGTGAAGGCTGAGTCTGGCTTCAGCACGGCGTTGGTCTCTGCCACGACCGGCGCTGCGGTGCTGAGCTTCGTTGGTGCAAAGAAGCCGGCTGCCNNGCAAGACTGTGGCTTGCAAGTTTAGCCCTGAGGCACAGGTCGGGGTCACCGAGCCTTTGGGATTCTTTGATCCGGCCGGCTTCTGCAAGGACGAGGCTTCCTTCAAGGACTTGCGAGCCAAGGAGCTCAAGCATGGCAGAATCTGGATCCTGGATGGGGAATCTTTTTTTGGACTTGCCTGATGTTCTATTACCACTAGGGCTTGTCAGTTGATTTCTCAAAAAGCAATGAGCCCGTCCCAGGATTGGCCATGATGGGAGCACTCGGCATGCTGACGCAGAGCTTGGTGCAGCTGCCGGGCATGGATGGCGTGCCGAAGGACATTTCGGCCTTCAGCACCGGTGCCGGCCAAACCGGCTTCCTCATCACCATCGCCATCATTGCGGTGTTGGAGGCGGCTGTCTTCGTGCAAGACGACAGCAAGGAGCCAGGCACAGCAGCTTTGCAGTAGGATCTGACGTCCGACAGGGATCCGGGTTGGTAGCTGCCGACTCCTGTGTTTGATATATGTTCACTTCGGAGACTTTGGTCCTCGTTGGCCGAAATGTTAAGGTTTGACAGACCCAAAGAGAGGCAACTTCGGCAACCCGCTGCCTCTGGTTGGGGATGACTACTCGGACGAGATGCGCAATCGCGAAATCAACAACGGCAGGATCGCCTGTCGGGATAGTGCCCAGCGGAGTTGTTGGCATGCTGTTTTGCGGTTCCCCCTAAAATTACTAGTTTCATCTGGGG